CTCGGGGGTCAGATAATTCCATACCCTCCAACATTTCTCCCATGAAAATAGGGACGTCCTAAGGAAAAGAGAGATATTCCAAGATCAGAAACCAGGATGGCTTCTCTAAATCAGGGACGTCCCTAGAAAATAGGGACACTTGGAGGATCTGCACTGCATTTGTGCTCTGTTAGCTAGCCAGAGGCATCTTGGATGGGCACAGTAAAAGCAAAACGAAACTGTTATGTACTTAGTTGAATAGGATCCAAACTGCAGCAGTCTGATTGGTCCTAGAACAATAGGATCCAAAATGCAGCAGTCTGATTGGTCCTAGAACAATAGGATTCAGAATGCAGCAGTCTGATTGGTCCTAGAACAATGCAGCAGTATGATTGGTTGGCAGGAACTACCCAATCATGCTCCAGATAGAAGTGAATCCACAACCTGACTGGCTTACAGTAGAATTCCGGAATTAGCCAATCATGTGCAGCCCATTGTGTAAATAAAGTATATAAAGCAGATACTTTGAGGGGACATTCATTCATTCCTCCTCACCACTATGAGCTGAATAAAGAGCATGAAATCACTTTGCGACTCTGAGTATATTTCAGAAACACAGATGGACAGAACCTTTAGTTTGACCTAACAGGGCAGTCCTCCTCTCTGTATGAGCATGGGTACCACAAGCAACCAAAGGGAGACAAGTATGATGCCCATCCCCAGAAGTGGCTCACCTGATGCGGAGGAACTGCAGGGCTAGTGTTAAAACCGGGGACTAAAATCACTACTAAATTTCACATAAGGCAATGTTACAGTTTCCTCAAATTTAAATAATTTTGAAGAATGAGTTTCAATACAATTAGAGAAATTCCTAAAGTGGAGGTGAGGGCAGGTTGTACTGTTTTAAATTACTACTACTACTACTACTACTACTACTACTACAACAACTACTACTATTATACCCCACCCATCTGGCTGGGTTTCCCCAGCCACTCTGGGCAGCTTCCAGCAAAATATAAAAACACAATAAAATGCCAAACATTAAAAACTTCCCAATACAGGGCTGCTTTCAGATATCTTCTAAAAGTTGTGCAGTTCTTTATCTCCTCGTACCCTAGCATAAACCTTTGCAGTGCTCACTGAATAAATAACAGCTCATATGTGAGAACAAAAATATGGTAGAGTGCAGAAATATTTTGTTTGTGTGTGATAAATGCACTCCTTGAATAGACACCCGGTGTGCATGAAATTGTCTGCTTATATGTTCATTTGTTCTGCAACCAACTCTGCAAGGATAGCTATTCCCCAGGTATCACCTTCTAATTATTGGGCAAAATAAGCAACTGCTAGGTTCTGCAGTTGAAATTTTAGATGCATTAAGGAAGTCCCCTTGGAACTGAGAGTGCAGTCTCAGAGAACACCGCAAGACCTTGTTTGCAGAGTTAGTTGCTCCCCTGTCAACAATATTTATTAAAGATCAATGCATAATTCAAAGCAATTAATCTATTTGAACAATTTTATTCCTTTTTATGCTTATGCACTAGCCATGATATCTATATTTTATTCCACCCTCTGTGCGCTTGAAACAACTTGGCAAAGAGTATGGAGCAATGGTTTTCAAACTTTATACCTTTAGGGACCGCTTTCCACATTGACTGATTTGCACAGTCTCGCATCATTGCCTGATCTTCCCTGCCAAAGATGGATCCATTCTGGAAAAGCTTTCCGAGTTATATGGCTCTCAAAGCTGCCTCACACTATACATTGGCTTTTGGTTAGTGCCAGTGAGGTGTAGCTGCTTGAACATCGGGCTAGGATTGGTGAGACCCAGGTTCAAATTCACACTCAGCTCCCTGGATTATCTTGACCCAGCCCTTAGCTCTCAGCCCAAGCTACTTCACAAATTTCTTGTGAGGTAAAAATGTGAAGGCCCCATGTACACTGTCTTGAACCGCTTAGGAGAACAGGTGAGGATATCAATAGGATAATTAAAATCATTTGCTGTAATAGAAACCAAAAATATTTAAGGCTACTATTGACCAGCTGTACATCACAAGCACTGGATGTTTTGTGAAGTGGATCCCCTCGGGTAGGAACAAGATGGAGACTTTTGGTTTTATAACATGTTTACACTGTCTGCCCAACCCTTGACCTTTGTGCAAAAACAAACAAACAAACAAACAAACAAACAAACAAAAAAGGAACACCCCTATTTTCAGATATATGTGGTAAGTCCCCCAAGATAAATACCTAATTTCTTTGAGCATCGACTCTTCTGAATACCTGAGGTAGCACGTTCCTAGACTTACTCTTTGGATAATGTTTCCCACTTTCTTTCATTTCTTCTTTCATTCTAACTCCCTCCCCCCTTTGTCTGCTTGTTCTAGTAGCCATCTGACGCTTATATCGGTTAGAGCAGCCTTTCTCAACCTGTGGGTCCCCAGATGTTGTTGAACTACAATGCCCATCACCCCTAGCGAGCAAGGCCAGAGCTCAGGGATGATGGGAGTTGTAGTCCAACAACACCTGGGGACCTACAGGTTGAGAACCGCTGGGTTAGAGTGACAGTGGGGAGGGTATGTTTTGTGTGGGCCCTTTCTTGTTGTTAATTATTATTATTATTATTATTATTATTTATTGATCCCCTGCCCATCTGACCACCATCATCTTGCCATATATATTGGTGTCTCTAAGGTGGAATTTGCCAGCTGTATTGTTTAGCAGTGCAAATCTGATCAGCACACACTGGGGTTTCCCCCCCCCATGCCACGAGTCACAAAAATAACACGCGGACTATTCCTTTATGATGCTGAGATGTCACAAGTGAGTAACAGGTGAGTGTTACTGTGTTGTTATCATGGGATGATGTCAGTGCATATGCAATAAGCAGGAATGAACAGTTGCTATGGAAAAATTTTTTTATTATGGTGGTTACATTGCCACATGCGTTGCCAGAATAAACCATGGCTTCAGCCAGGAATCTCCTTGTTCGCCTTCTTGATGCCTTTTGTCACCCACAAACCCAGTAAAAAATGACCATACAATGTACTCCTGGGTGGCTCCCCCTTCATACAGCCTGTTGGTTCCCCCTGAACTAACATCATCATCATCATCATCATCATCATCATCATCATAATTTATTATTTATACCCCACCCATCTGGCTGGGTTTCCCCAGCCACTCTGGGCAGCTTCCAACAAATTATTAAAATACAATAGTCTATTAAACATTAAAAGCTTCCGTAAATGAGGATCCTCCAGATCAAGCCTTGGCTACCCTCTAGATTAGGCTTTTTACTGCCTCCCCAGCCGCCTTCTGCCTGTTTCCCAAACCTTTTGAAGTGGTACTTTGCCTTTGACCTGGACAGTGAGTAGCACAGGTTTGGACACTCCCTTTCTGCTCTACACAGTATTGTATTATGAACCTTATATCAAAGTTTCATGGAGGTATTTAGCAATAGCAGCCCATCAGTTTATGACTGATGATTAGAAAAAACACTTGTGCACTGCAAAACATTATTCATCAGACATTAGAGACCTGCTTAGGAACATACAATTAGCCCTTCCTTTTTAGCAAGCCTCAGTTGAACTAAATACCACTTTGGGACTGTGTAGATCTGCTTTCCTGGAGGCTAGAGGCAGGTCTGAATGCTGCGAGGACAACTGTGTCTTTCCGTCTGCCAACTATTCTCGGTAAGAAATGTTTCTTTCTCTATTTGCATTTGCAAGTAAGTGCTGCGTACTTCATTAGCTTAAATACTCTCCTTTTTCATTAGGTAAATTAAATGTTCATTGGACATGGTTAGCAGCTTTAAATGCACAATAATGTTCTGTGTGAAGATGAAACCGGGAAGGCTTTGTTTTGCATTGTTTTAATTTACTTTTGGAATTTTAAATACACATGCTCTTCATGGCTACAGTAACCTGTGCATACATTGCTAAAAGCATATTTTATAGAGTTGGGAGGAGCCCAAGGGGTCATTTTAATCCAACCCCCTGCAAGATCTCATTGTGCCTCTAGATCAGGGGTCAGCAAACTTTTTCAGCAAGGGGCTGGTCCACTGTCCCTCAGACCTTGTGGGGGGCCAGACTATATTTTGAAAAAAGAAGAAGAATGAATCCCTATGCCCCACAAATAACCCAGAGATGAATTTTAAATAAAAGGAAACATTCTACTCATGTAAAAACACCCATGGGTAGGCAAACTAAGGCCCGGGGGCCAGATCCCGCCCAATCGCCTTCTAAATCCAGCCTGTGGACGGTCCAGGAATCAGCGTGTTTTTACATGAGTAGAATGTGTCCTTTTATTTAAAATGCACCTCTGGGTTATTTGTAGGGCCTGCCTGGTGTTTTTACATGAGTTGAATGTGTGCTTTTATTTAAAATGCATCTCTGGGTGATCTGTGGGGCATAGGAATTCATTTTTTGTTTTTTCAAAATATAGTCCGGCCTCCCACAAGGTCTGAGGGGCAGTGGACTCCTGCTGAAAAAGTTTGCTGACCCCTGTATAGCTCTATTTCCAACACAAGATGGTCTCATAAAGGGTTGCCATATTTCAAACAGTGAAAATCCGGACAGAAAAGTTGAGCTTTTTTTTTGCCTAAAATCGAATCGGCAAAAACGACACTGCCAACATGGCTTGCCATACGTCCAGATTGCCCCGGACATTTTGCCAATTTTCACTACTGCCAGCTGCAGTCTTCCAGATATGTACAGGGAAATTCCAGACCTATGGCAACCCTAGTCTCATATCAATAAATACCAGGCATGGAGACAGCGAATGGGGCTCAGGGCTGGCAGATGAGACAAGAAGCGAAGAGAGAGTCCTCTGTAGAAACTTGTTGCCATTTCCTGTGTACATTTGGGTGTACAAAATGACAAGAACGTTTTGGAAATCGCAAGATATGGGAGAAGAGAAACTGCTTCACCTGCCTGCAGTAAAGCCACACAGAGATGATACAATACTGGTCTATGACATCAGCACAACCACACAATGCATACAGCATTTAGCTTTGTGCCCCTGGAGTGGGTAAAGAACAGGTGGAGGCATCCCAGCACTGGTCTGCACTGGAAGAGAGGGAGCCACCACTGTGGGAGACTCCACAGAACCAACCAAACACTTTGGGAGCTGGTGTAAGGCCCTGAAATCTGACATTATGGAGCGAGGATGGGGTAGATCAAGGGTAGCTATGTGTGATGGCCTGGGACTCGAGTGCAGACTCGGAACCAAAGGAGTCTCAGTCTGCACCGGATCCTTTGCCTCAGGCATCATCTGAACCAAGTCTGGGGCTTGATCCTGAAGAGTCCCAGTCTGCACAGGTTCCCCTGCAACAAATACCAGTTGGGCCAAGTCAGGGGCCTGAGCCTGCCCTGGCTCCAGATGCAGGGATTACCTCGTTGCCTTCAGCTGGGCCATCACTTACAGCTGCTCCACTACCGGTTGGGTCAGGGGAGGCTGAGGAGGCCCTGGGTCTAGTAACCCACCAATGTCTCCCGAGCTGCAGAGACTAAGGTCTGAGAGAAGGAGAGACCTGAATACTCGCAGGAGGAGTGCTCGCCTTCGGGCGAAACAGGGAGGTGAGTCACCGGGGAATCAGGACTGGCCATTACCCCGACAAAGATAAAAGTCTGACGGACCCCACCCCAGGTTGCGGGAGCAACATTGCTGTATGCCAGATCCTGCCTGAGATTCTGTACCTGCCCCTGCCCCTGCCTGGTTTCCTGCCTCGTATCCTGCCTTGGCCCTGTCGGACTGACTCCTAGCAGAACCTCTGGATTCTGGACTGGTCCTGGACCGTGTTTCAAGGGTTACCCCCGGGCCCAGCACACTATAGATATGCTGGATCCAAAGCTGGTCTTTATCCCAGAGACAGGCCTTATTTGGGGCATACAGCAAAAACAAACTAGCAAGCAAGCAAACTGGGGAAAATGTCCCAATTTTCTCCCCTGGTCAGTGGTGCTCTGTTGTGCCCTGCTGAAGATATGTGCATGGAAGTCTTTCTGAACAAGTCACGCCAATCTTAGTTGGATCAGAGTGAATGGAGCTATAGTGAAATTTGTGGCGCATCCAGCAATTTCCAACTATATTAAAAAGTCACAATATAAAACTGACCTCTGGCTAGTTTCATTTAAAAGTAATCAGAATAATTCAAAGGCTAGTAACATCAACATAAATTAGGAAGAAACTTAAGCCAATTTGACAGAAACAAGGATAAATAGCACCAGATAAGATCCCAGGAGTAAGATTAGAGCTGTCGCCACATTTATATTTGGAAGTTCTGTTCAAGTGAAGAATTTTGAGGAGATATGTAAGGATTTGAGCAAGATTCGCCAGGTTTCTCAAGGAGGCATCTTCTACACTGCCACTGGGTTTTACCTAAATAAGACTTCATAGGAAATTTAGATATTCTTCTCAGATGAAATATCTGTAGGGGTTTTGAGAGGAGCCAAGCAGATTTTAATAAGATTAGCAAACTTCCTCTAGAGGATTTCACAAATCTCTGACACTAAGAATATCAGTGTCCAACAGAGGTAGTAGATTTGACCACAAAGTACAAAAATAAAATGATGATGTTAGTTTATGTGGTAGATAAGCTGCCAAACCTAACAAATGCAGATTGTTGCTAGTTAGAATGAGAAGGGGCTAAATCCTAGAGCTGTATTGCTGATAGGCAAAGACCATAGAAATACAATTAGCATTGGTAGGCAGGCCTCTGTGTGATGTCATTTCCCCTTCTCTCCTGGAGAGGAAGGAGCATATGGTACTTCCTGTTCCTTTTTCTCTCTTTCTCTCTTCTATTGTCCAACATTGGATGCAGACATGCCTCTGCTTGCTCCAGTTCAGGCAGATGCCTGAAACGGTTATACAGGAAATACAAGTATTTTGCCTGCATAGTTTTCATTGCTGTCATTGCTGTAAACCAATGCATGATCATAAAGGAAGTAAATATTATTTTTAAAATTATAAGTTGTTGCCCAATTCTTCGTTACCTGATAAGAAAGAGGAGCCAGCTTACTTCATAACTAGACTTGCTGAAAGCCAGGTTTTACTGCCTAATTCCTATGCTTTTAATTTTTCTGCCAAGGATGAGATTTTGAAATTCTGTTCAAACACATGTGGGTGCCTGGAAGGATAAAATGCAATTAATATATCCTCTCCTACCCACTGAAACCCATATCACAACTTAAACATTGAAAAAGAAGAAGAATACAACCTTTGAAAGATTATCTGTTAAATAAACAACGCCCAACATTCAGCATTAATTTTAAAAATGAAACAGTTATTCCCCCCCCCCTTTTACCTACAGAGTCTTCTACAAACATTGCTTCCTCCAGATGCAGACTGAAACTATATCCTGAGGCTATGTCCTGCCAGCGGTGGAATACGGAAGATTTATTATTTGTGGATATTGATACAAATTGACTTGATCTGCATCTTCTGGGTTAATGTGTGGTGCTGGAATGCAACTAAATGAATAAATAAGCTGTTATTGTTATTATTACCCTTGACATTTGTCTAAATTTTGCAGTGCAGTTCCGGACACAGGAAACATAACAAAATGTGTGTTTCATTAGAAAATGTGTTAAAAGTACATATTTGAATGCAAAAGTTCGCACAGTATTTTTTAATAAAATACAGATTAACAAGGAAACAATCTAGAATGGGCTTATGAATGAGCACATATGAAAATGACATGGACGAAAAATAGACTGGCCGGTACATTCTTCCCTGTGGGTACTTAGGACCATCAGCAATTTGCAGGTACAACCCTCTGGAGGGAAAAATTGGCTGTCCTGATGTTCTAATCTTTACAAGGAGCCAGCTAATTTGTTTTTCGTGGAACAATGCCAGAGCCAGCCAGCCATAAAGAGAATTTTAGTTAAGTATCACCCAATGACGCTTCTGAGGGACCATATTTGTTTACCTGTAGCAAGAGGAATATTATGCATTGCAGGCCCTGAAGAATTTTAGTTAACAGATTAATACATATAATTTGTTTTTAATGAGACATGATACTTCACTGGGCTATCTTTAATGGTTTTTTAAAATAATGCTCGTTACATCCTAAATGCAGTGAAATCAATCCATACTCTCTAAGTCCATACAAAACTCTCTCAGCCCAGCCTAGGTGTGTGTATCATTCTACCAAGCAATATGGAGAACTTTATTACTCATATATAGATTCAGGTGTATAGTTAAACATTGGTTAAACTTCCTGCCTGCTACTGCCCAGTTTTGTTCTCTACAAGTTGCAACTCTCTTCTTTCTATATAGGAATATTACACAAATTGCCCAACAAATGTATTTTGTTGGCATGAGAGTGTGGCCAGTCTTCTATGAGACACATCTTTGCCACAGCTTGGAGCCCCCACTTCCTTACACTGAAAACTCACCATTTTAAATCAATTTAAAAACAAATCCAAAGAAAGACATAACACGTGAGGAAAAGAGTAACAGTAGATTTAAAATAGTAGCGGTCAGAGCAAGAAATGGGCTTCAGCTTGTATAAAGGTAAAGGTACCCCTGCCCATACGGGCCAGTCGTGTCCGACTGTAGGGTTGTGCGCCCATCTCACTCTAGAGGCCGGGGGCCAGCGCTGTCCGGAGACACTTCCGGGTCACGTGGCCAGTGTGACGAAGCTGCTCTGGCGAGCCGGCACCAGCGCAGCACACGGAAACGCCGTTTACCTTCCCACTATAAAGCGGTACCTATTTATCTACTTGCACTTAGGGGTGCTTTTGAACTGCTAGGTGGGCAGGAGCTGGGACCGAAAGACGGGAGCTCACCCCGCCGCGGGGATTCGAACCGCCGACCATGCGATCGGCAAGCCCTAGGCACTGAGGATTTATCCACAGTGCCACCCGCGTCCCCTAATAATAATAATAATAATATCATTTTTAATACTGCCATTCATTTCAAGAAGAAACACCAAGGCAGTTCAAAAATAAGTAAAAGCCAATAGAAAAATAAAAAGAATAAAACACATTTTAAAAACACAACCACCAGTAATGCATAGTAATGCAACTACATTAAAACATTTATAATTTAAAATCAGGAACAAACAATCCCATTAAAACAGAATAACAGCTGAAACAGCAATCAAAGTAGGAGATTCAAGTCAGGAGATCGGATAAATGCTGGGCTAAACAGATGTGTCTTCAAGAGTTGGTGGAGTACAAGTACTGATGTGGCCTATATTTCAGCAGAGGATAATCTTGCTGCAGTATGGGAAGGCAGGACCATGGCTTTACTATCAAAACACAGTAGGCACAACATCTGTAAGGATCTCACTTTCTGAATGATGTGTGAGTCCTCTACACAGTCCTATCCCACACTCCCAATACATGCAAGAATTATAACTTGTTTCATCAGAACTCTTCTTTTTTTGCCTCTCTCAGGATTTATCAGATATTTGCCTGGGTAGGAACTTCAAAATTCATCTCAGATTATTTTGCTTTCAGCAAAATCTAGTGACAGCTGTACTTGGGATTTGTGGGACACCTTGTGACATGGCGATGCTCTTATCAAACTTCCTTGGGCTTTCATCAGAATTGATCGTGTTTCACCTGAGGCAAAAGTCCAAAACCTGCCCTTGAGTTTTGCTTTAGACATAATCTCAACATCAGCTCCAGCCATTTCTAGCTTGCCTGTCTCACAGAACTAAAGCACTGGGCTGAGATATATTTTGAGAACACAGAAAGTTGCCTTATAATGAGTCAGATCATTGGTCCATCTGGCTCTCAGTAGAACATGACTTCAGGCATGAGTTTTCCTCAGCTCCACCTGCAGACACCAAAGATGGAACTGAGGACTTTCTGCATGCAAATCAGATGCTCCATCCCTGAGGTAAAGTCTTTCCCCTTTGAAGAGATATAAATGAGAGGTAGAGGGAAAAATAGACGTTGAATGGGCATGAAAAGAAAAGAGCAAGAAAAGAGATGGGAAATAACCACAGGAGATTATTCTATGTAACTGGCACACAATTTGGTATTTTCAATAGGAAATACTTATTTTGCATACTGCTAAAAGTGTCGGCAAGGTGCTTCCTAGCCGAATAAACATGTGGATTTATTGTAAGGCGACTGGAGAGTGTTACAATCCTGAGATTTAAGAACATAATTATAAGCTGCAGCAGACAGTCAAGAGCGTAAATAAAAATGGGCAGAGTGAGTTCTGTGATCCATACATTTACATGCTAAGTTAACTATCTGTTATATAAAGGATGCTGCTAGCACAGAGTTTAGTACATTAAACCATGATGCCTTGCTCTTTCCAATGGATTTGTGGGGTGAGGGAGATCATAATATCCCCAGAAGGCAATACCAAAAAAGCAGGAGCAATAAAACAGCCCTTTTGTGAGCCATATAAAATGTACCATTTTATTGCAGCAAGCCACAGATACTAATGAATTTAAACAACAAATTGCATCTTCAGCAAGAAGCTGTAGTTTTAGGGAATTTTCCCCACCGGGATTTCTTAGTGCAAAAAGATAAGATCGTTCTTTTCTCTTCACTGTTCTGCCATAGAGGGGATCATCAGACAGAGAACAGAATATCTGCAAACATTCAAGAGATTAGCTGAGTTTCCTAATTTCCTAGTGTTCCAGTTTTGAAAAAGAAATTTCAAATTTGACACAGGAATTCACATTTCACATTGTGATTTTGTTAAAAACAAAGAACCTCAAAATTCAAAATGGAATGTTCTAGAAAGTTGGCATTTCTTGGCAACTTTGATTTTGACAAACCTCAAACACGAAACTTTCTCAGCTGACAATTGTCAAAAACTATTTTGCACTGTGTGCTCTATAGCAAATGATGTCAGATTATTTATTTCTTCTTTTTAAAACACCGTACTGTTGTAAAAAAAGGAGAGCAACAACACAGCCACATGCTAGGGTTACAGCAACTATGAAAACGGGCATACGGAGGGAGAATCATTTTAGACTTATTAGAGGGACATTGCAAGGAAATGTTTTTAAGGTGTGTGCAATGGGGAGTTCAAGGTGGTCAAATCTTGAATTAAAATTGTACCCAAAAGGGATTCCAACTTAAAAGACACAGTCAATGAATATTGTAGAATATTATAGAAGTTAGCTGTTCAGAGTTTGGCCTCTTCACCCTCAACCCTCCCTCCACTAGGGCTGCCATACGTACAGATTTTCCCAGACATTACCAGGATTTCAAAGGCAGAATTGACTTCTGGGGGGAATTTCCAAAAGGCGGCTCTTTGACTCTTAGATGGTGCTTTGGCTTGACTCTTAGGCAAGTCAATCAAAAAAATCACACACACACACACACACACACACACACACACAAAACGTTTGGAAATATGGCAACCCTACTCTCCACACAATAGCTATCAGTTCTGCTTGGCTTCTCTTCCCACAGCAAACCACTTCTTTCCAGGCATGGCAAACCAACACTTGTCTCCTGTCCCTTTATTCCTGGCTGTGTGTACAATATCTGTGAGGGAATGTGGCACCTGACACGGGGGAAAAGGTTACGTATCCATGGCAATGTGCTTTCCAGTGCATCCCTGCATGTTTGCTGCAGAAATGGTGCCCAACTATGGCAAAATAGCCATCAGCTGTCAAATGCTACACGCCACATCATGCCAACTATCAAATGCTGTCAGAGACCAACTATCTGATTTCGCATGTTGAAATCAAAGGGGAAAGGGGCTGTCAAATGCACAGATAATATTTGAGTAGTCAAAGATTATTCCACATAAAAATTCATAAAGGAAAAAAAATGTCTGGAATCAAATCTATTTCAAATTCCAGCTGTCATAATGCCATTTTGCTCTATGTCTGTGAAGGGCAAGATGCATGCGGTTTTCCCTCCAAAGGGGCTACTATCTGAGCAAGTTGAGCAAGAGGAATCTCTATAGTCCCTGACCTATGCCAAAGGAATCAACCCTGAGATGTTTCCCGAGCCTTGTGGATGAAAGAGCTCTGTGGTCCCTGAGCTGCTGCTATAGGAGGTGTTTTTCAACATGCTGTGAGCCAAACAAAAATGGCGCCCAGGCCTATTGCAAATGTTGCCAAATGCCCTTCTGGTTTACATCTGTGAGGGGATGTATTTGCACGGCACAGTGAGACACGGTGTGCTGTTATCCTCCGTATTTGGGAACCCAAGTGTCAGAGAGAAGGCGTGACATAACAGGGAAATAATTGTGCCTCAGAAGGTTCTCCTTTGAAAGTAGGCATTTGAAAGGCAGAGATAAGATGGCAAGATGAAAAGGTATCCCAAAAGCACCTCTAAGGCTGTAGGCAAAGAAACTCTCCAAAGAGGTAAGGGGGGGGATAGCTTCAAGGAGCTACAGAGGCTAAAAGGAAGACGTGAGGTGGCACAAAGACCATGATGTATTAAATGCTGAGGGGCTCCCTCAGCTCCAGCCTCGCGAGCTCTCCTCATTAACTCACCACCTGTATTTATCAGCACAGGAGAGCAATATACTTTGATTAGTGTTGCCTTCATAAATGAA